TGGGGTGAGGTTAGTGAATTCCAGGATGAAGCCAGCAACAGCCTGTCCCTTAATTACTGTCCGAGGCTGGTAGGAGATATTAAACTGACTGAGTTCGACCGACCATTGCATAAGCCTGCCGGAGAGCTCTGGTTATTGCATTATCTTCTTCAACGGTTGGTCAGTGAGGACAACTATGGAATGAGCTTGGAGTAAGGGCGGAGTCGTCTGGAGGTGGTGACCAAGGCCAAGGACATTTTTTCTAACAATGGGTAGTTCTGTTCCGCCCCCCGAAGAGCCCGACTAATATAGTAGACCGGTCGTTGGACAGATCTGTCTTCCCTGACGAGTGTTGCACTAACTACAATGTAAGACACGGCTAGATAGAGGAAGAGGGGTTCGCCCGTGATGGCTTGAGAAAGTAGGGGGTTAGCCATGCACTGTTTCAACTGTTGAAAGGCCTTTTCAGACTATGCCATCCACTCAAAAGTTTGCCGAAGGACTTTGAAGAAGGGGAGACACTTATCCGTTGCTCGGGAAATGAAGCGGTTGAGGGCGGCCACTCGGCCATTAAGCTTCTGAACCTCATTGACTGTTCTGGGTGACTGCATTTCAATTAAGGCCTTGATCTTTTCAGGGTTAGCCTCGATGCCCCGCTGACTGACCATGAACCCCAAAAACTTTCCAGATCCTACGCCGAAGGCACATTTTTCCGGATTGAGCTTCATCTGGTACTTTCGTAGGGTGTCGAAGGTTTCTCGCAGGTCTGCCAGATGATCGGTGGAGAGTTTGCTCTTAACCAACATGTCATCGACATATACTTCCATGTTCCGGCCTATCTGATGATGGAAGACGGCATTGACCAACCGTTGGTAAGTGGCCCCAGCATTCTTTAACCCAAATGGCATCACACGGTAATAGTAGGTGCCTCGGTCAGTGATAAAGAAGATGTGCCCCTGGTCAGATAGGTGCATCAAGATTTGGTTGTATCTAGAGAAGGCATCCACGAAACTGAGCATTTGATGACCGGTCGTGGCGCCGACCAGCAGATCTATGCAAGGGAGAGGGTAGTTGTCCTTGGGGCAAGCTCGGTTGAGGTCGAAGTAGTCGACACAGAGTCGCTATTTACCATTGTTTTTACGAACCAGAACCACATTCGACAGCCATCTGGGGTAGTCCACATTAGTGATAAACTGTGCCTCAAAGAGTTTGTTTCAACCAAGAGGGCGGTGAGGTTGGCCTTGGCTTGAGGGGATAGTTGGCTGCCGATCTTGGCAGTTTTGGCCGGGTTGGTGGGGTCGATGAGGACTTCGACGAGCTCCTCCACTGGTTCTTCTCTGACCAGCTCGTCTTCATCTCTAACATCGAGTCCTTCAATGATCATAGCCTCCTTCAGCTTGACTTCTTTAAGTGAGGCGACATAACATTCTCTGGCGACGGTCTGCTCTCTCCTCACTGTTCCAACCCCAAGATCGGTAGGGAACTTGATGGCAAGGTGATAAGTGGATGTGATAGCTTGGAAAGCATTTAGGGCAGTGCGGCCAAGGATGATATTGTAGGCAGATGGGCAGTCAACAACAAGGAAGGTGAGCAACTTTGTGGTTTGCCGCGGGTACTCGTCAATTGTGATAGGAAGATCGATGGAGCCAATGGAGGTCACCCGGTCGCTAGGGAAACCGACCAAAGGGGTTTGGAGGGGAGACAGACTTTCTTCCCCAATCTTAAGCTGGCAGAAGCAATTGAGGAAGATGATGTCTGAAGAACTGTCATTGTCGACGAGAACCCGCCTGACCTTGTAATTGGAGAGGAGGGCGGAGATGACGAGAGGGTCGTCATGGGGGTAACGGATGCCTGTGCAGTCAACGTCCGTAAAGGTGACAAGCTCGGTCCACTGTCTGGGTTGTTTGGAGGGTCGGTCTAGTGTGGCAACTTCTTTGTCTGAGCCCTGTCTTTTTTTCCTGAGTTCTGCCCTCTGAGCCGAGCGGGATGGGCCTCCACAAGGAAGCCCACTAGCAATAACTCTAATTTCTCCAACAGGTGGAGTAGGGTTACCTTGTGCCTGGGGTTGCTGCGGAGGGCGGTCATGACCTTGGTTAGGTTGTGCTGGTTGTCGGGAAGGTGTGCGCCGGCGGTTGTTTCTAATGGGTTCAGTCCGTTACCTCTGCTGAAGGCAAGTATCCGTGAATCGGCTGAGGCGTCCTTAACGAATCAGGCTCTCGACCTGATCTTTGAGGTTAACACACTCCTCGGTATTATGGCCATGGTGAAAACGGCAATATTTGGACTGGTTTTTCCGATTGAAAGGAGTTCGTGATGGTTGGGGCCATTTTAGGGGGTAGTCCCGCTGGATCTGATGGAGGACTTGTTTTATGGAGAAATTAAGGGGTGTGTATCGCTTGAACCGACCGGGCGGTCGGGCTGGTGCCGACCAGTCGGCTCGAGGGGGTCGGTCGGTATAATGCGGCGTTTAGTTATTGTACTGGGTGTTTCTGGCTTCTAAGTCTTTTTGCTTTTCTCGGAAGGTCGGGTTTTTTGTTGTAGGGTCTTGGCGAGCGGCTAGGGAATCTTTTGCGTTCGTGTATTTTTGGGCTTTGGAGAGTAGGGCTGCCATGGAGGTCGGGGGGTTTTTTGAGAGAGAGAAAAGGAAATCAGATGACCGTAGGCCGGCCATGAAAGCCGTAAGGATGACCTTGTCATCGTTTTCTGCTACCTGCAAGGCTTCGGTGTTGAAGCGGGTAAGGAAACTGCGCCGCGACTCCCTCTCAGTCTGACGGATATTGAGGAGTTGGGTTGCTGGACGTCGCTGGCGTTGGGCTCCTATAAAATGGCTGAGGAAGGAGTCACTGAGGTGCTGGAAAGTGGAGACGGAGTCTGCTGGAAGTTGACTAAACCAAAGTCGAGCCGACCCCTTAAGTGTTACGGGGAAAGCTCGACACATTATCTCGTCGGGGAATGCATGGAGGATCATAAGGGTTCTGTAGGTCTCCAAGTGATAGACTGGGTCTGTTGTACCGTCGAAAGAGTCGATGGTGGGCATTTTGAACTTAGGAGGGAGAGGTTTGTCTCTGATGGAGGCGACAAACGGGGAGTTGGCTACGGTAGATGGTTTATGTTGTCTGTTCTGCATGACCCCTTAGAGTTGGAGCTTCATGGCTCTGAGTTTTGCGTCCCAGAGAGGGATGTTGTCACCACCGGAGGGGAGCGGGGGCTGGACGCTGCTGGCTTCCCCTTCAGGGGTTGGTACCGGGATCGATGGTTGTGGGCCCCGGGGTGGTAGGTTTATACCCGAGGGAGGGGGTTGCAAGCCTTCCCAGTTGGGTGGATTAGGCTGCGGGATAGTATGGCTCGAGGCTCGTTCTTGGTTGAGGGAATATCTGGAGGTGGGGGAGGGGGCATAGGAAGGTTTCTTTGGAGTAGAGCATTAATCAGGGCTTGGTTTTGCTCAGCCATGCGGTTAATGTTGTTGGTAAGCTCGATGACATATTGTGGTAGGTTGTTTGGATTGGGGAGATCGGCTTGGTGGTTGGCAGTGCTATGGTGAGAAACCATGGATCTAGTCGTGACCATACACTTTGATGGGTAGCAAGAAAGGGTTGTTGGAACAGGGTCTCCGGCGACAATGAGCACAATTGCCGCGCGAAGCAAAGCTTTCCTACAGACGGCGCCAACTGATAATACAGTTCGTGATGGTTGGGTGGGTCGGACTGATCCACGCTCCTCAAGCCTATGTCCGAATTACCAAGCCCACCGTAAGACCTGCATAAGAGTTCAACGAGGAACGGAGAGTCCCCCAGCGAACCCTCCGACGAGCAAGTTAGAGAGAGAAGAGGAGAATGTAGATAGACTAGAGATAGAAAAGCTTAACATTCTTCTTATCTTCAACATCTGCTTATATCCTCTGGTAATCATTTCGTTGTCCCTTCCGACCTGTCATCTTGGCCGAAAGTCTATGCTGAAGCTTACCTTGTTCAGGGTGAGGGCGTACTGTTCCGACGAAGAGGGGTTATCGCAATAAATGCTGTAAGGGGCCTCATTAATGACGATGTGGCGTAACAATAACTTTGCAAATCTTTGTCTGCTGATGTGGCTTACCATTCTCTTGCCACGTGTCTTGATGTCATTGGTTCTTATTGCTATGTGGGGCTTTAGCAGTTCTGGACTTTAGTATTTGAGATATATATTGGGCCCTAAACGGTGGACTATAATCTTTATGGGCTTACTCATATCAATTATTATTATTATTATTATTCTAAAATTGCATTTATGCCTCTTTTACAAAAGCTAAGCTTAAAGATCCTCCAAGTGATTAGTGTTAAAATAACAATGTTAAAAAAAAATTATACAATCAATTTATACGAGACTTTGCCTTCACTATATATATCTGGAAACAATTTTTTTTTGTGATTAGTTATGTGGTTTGTTAGGCTATCTGTCAATTTAAATAAGAATATCTCTATATTTTTCTTATAACAATAAAATAGTTTCTTTTAAATTATGAAAATTTTATGACAAGGAATTTTTTTTTTTATTGAAACTTATAAATTGGCTTATTTTTTAAGATTAAATTATAAACACATTTGTTAAGATTTGTTTAAAATATAAATTATCCTTTTATAATTTAAAAAATTATAAATATTTCATTGTCAGAATTTTTTATTTAGCAAAATTAATTAAAAAATAAAAATTTTAATTATTCTCTTATATAATAATAAAATTATTTAAATTTTTAATTAAAATATATTTTTAATATTATTAAATATTATGAATTAATTTCATAATTTATTAATAAAATAATAAATTTATTATGATATTATAAATTTAAGGATGGTAAGGATGGAAGGTAAGAGATGGGGTGTTGAAGGTAAGAGAAGGTGTGTTTGTAATTTTTTTTTAAAAAAAATTTTGGCTGAATTTGTGAACAGCTGTTATGTAACAAAGTTCAACTAAACCCATGAGTCAACTGAACGACCTAATCCAAGCACACGCTTTCAGGGGGGGCCATCTTCAATTTTCCCTAAAATTTCCCTAATTTCAATTTCAACCCCCCTTCTGCCTCCTCTCTCTCTCTGTATCTCTCTCTAAAATCTCCGAGATTCTCTACTTCGCCCTACAACCGGAAAACCATGGACTCATCACCGATCTACTTTCTACCACAAGACACCCTCCATCAGATCTTCTCCAACCTCCCTCTCCGTGAGATCATACGTTGCAGATCAGTCTGCAAGTTCTTCAATCAAACGCTCACCTCACCTTCCTTCATACACCTCATCTCCACCCAACCCCCTTCCCTCCGCCTCCTCTCTCTCCGCCCCCCTCACCACCACCACCATAGCCGCCACGTGTCCTCCGATGCCACCCTCCACGCATTCGATCCCGACCAGAATCAATGGCTCCGATTCCCCCTCACCTTCCTCCCCTTCCATTCCCCTCAACCCGTGGCTTCCTCACTCGGACTCGTCTACCTCTGGGCCGACTCACCCGATTCCACTAAAACACTCGTCGCTTGCAACCCTTTAACTCGCCAGTTCCGAGTCCTCCCCCAACTGGGCTCGGCCTGGTCGCGTCACGGCTCGGTCCTAGTTGGGCCGCCCAACCGAGTGCTTGTATTGAGTGAACTCGCTGCCCTCTACTTCTCAGGCAGTACCAATAATTGGGTAAACTTTTCATCGAATTTGCCGTCTAAACCACGAAGCCCAATCTTGGTCTCAGACTCTTGTGTACTGGCTCTCTGCGATGTGGGTTCGCCTTGGAGAAGCCAATGGAAGCTGTTTTCATGTACACTGTCGAGTCTACAGAGCTCACAGTCATGGTCTCGGCTCGAAAAGCACGAGTGGGGTGATGTGTTTGATATCCTGAAACGGCCTCGTTTGGTGAGAGGGATTGGGAACAGGGTTTTGATGATTGGGGGTTTGAGGTCTTCGTTCTCGCTCAACGCTTCGTGTTCGACAATTCTGATCCTGAGGTTGGATTTGGACACCATGGAGTGGGACGAGGCGGGTCGAATGCCCACCCAGATGTTCCGGTGCTTCCAGGAATCGAGCAAGTTCAAGGTTTTTGGAGGTGGGAATAGGGTTTGTTTTTCGGCCAAGAGGGTTGGGAGATTGGTGTTGTGGGATTACTCGGAGATTGTTGGCAAGGGGGAGTGGAGGTGGGTTGATGGCGTGCCGGGGAGCGGGGATGGGCTTTGCCGGGGATTTGCGTTTGATCCGAGGCTTACGGCCTTGCCTTGAAGGATTGGTTGACGGGTTTTGCGGGTCGAATTTTATGTTGGTATGTTCTCTATGTTGCAAACATTGTTGTTGTTGTATTAATAGCTAAATTCATGTCAATGTGTTCTTTTTTGTATGTTATTGTGTTTTCTTTCTTGCTTTGCTGTAATTGTGTAATAGGAGTTACAATTTAACTTGAAATCCTTGTTAATGGAAAATGTTTCACAGAATTGGGTATTTGTTGAGTCATGTAGATACTTGAGAGTGGAGATAAATTTATTTATTTATTTTTTGAGGTTCAATGTGATCTATAGTATGTCAACTTTATTTTCTTTGCTGGAAGGACTGACTTTCTTTCACTTTGGTTTGGTTACAATCTTGTAATTTGCCTCAAACTTCAGTATGGTACTTAAATAATATAGTTAAAACTTTGGTTAGGGGTTCTCATTGTATAGGCACAATGTTATTAAGCCTCCGTTTGGGAAGTGGGTTGGCTTTTTGACTTTTTAGCTTTTTTGGCTATTTTAGCCTGGGCTAAAAAGCTTGGTTTGGGAAGAGCTTTTTGACTTTTTGGCTTTTTTGACTTTTTTTGTGAGAGAATAGTGTAATGATTATGGGTTGGATGTGATGTTTTGTTTTTTGTGGCTAAAATAGCCTATTTTGTCTTTTGTGGCTAAAATAGCCAAAAAAGCCTGGAAAAGCCCTTCCCAAACGGACCCTAAGTCATACTAGTTTCTAAAATTGTAAGTTTCATTAGGAGAGTGAGTTGATCATGTGGGCACTGTGTAATTAGGTTTCCTTTGTGTGTGTGTTCTCTCCATTTAGCTCTTTAATTAGTTTTACTTCTTTCTTTGTGTGTTGTGGACCCCGACTAGTTTATTCAGTCTTTTTTATATGAAGGATGTGTTCAGATGCTAAGGTGTCTTGCTCTCTATTGTATCTAGCTTTATAGTATCTATGTTTTGTTACCCTAATATGAATGAATGATTTTCTCACTTTGCCCTATTAGGCTGATTATTTAAGTAATGAAGTATTTCCTCTCCATAATTGTCAAATTGGTAATCATATTGTGAATTGAAATCCTAATTTTGCGATTAAGTTGAATCAAATCGAAAACCGTTAAAATTCAATACAAATTATACAAATTAATATTAAACAATGATATATATGAAAAAATACAATAAATTGATTTTGGCACATGCTATACAATAGTTCTTATATAAGGACATGTTTAAATTGTCTACTTGGGAAACCATTGCCGCCTTCATTACAAAAGATGTGGGTCAACTATAAAATTATTAAAATAAAAAATATAAAAAAAAACTCATAATATAATTGATGAAATCTGGAACTGCTTTGATTGCTTCGAACCTCCAATAGCTTTAAACGGAGAAGAAAAGGTGAATCTCTAGTGGCATTGGTGTGATGTAGGTCAAAAACTCTCCAACGGATAAGTTAGATTTGGAAACGTGGAGGGAAAGCAAGAGAATTAGGGTTTAAAATCTGTATTGGCTAACCTTCTGGATTGAAAATTTAAATAATTAAAGTTACACTTCTAGGAACCTAAGCTTTTAGATGAGATGATTGTTAACAATTCGTTGTATTGCTAGTTTACTTTTAACATATATATACATAAATGTAGAAAATTTAAATCCTTGCATTATTCTTCATCTTTATATATATACATGAAAATTTCCAATTTTGTGGCTTTTTGGCTTTTTTGTGTTAAAAAAGTTGATTTTTTTGGTGTAAAAAAGCTAAAAAGCCAAAAAGCTAGCTTTTTGGAAGTTTCCAAAACACCCGAGTTTCACAAAAACATCCATTATTGGAATGTGAAGCAGGTGTTCATTTTGTGTGTTTGTCTAGTGCATTGGTATTCTGGAAAAAAGGCACTGTTGTAAATAATAATAATAATAATTGCTAATATGATGGCATGGTATCAGTGCCACTGTTGAGATGTACATATAAATGTTGTAATTATAGGAGTTCTAAGCAGATGCCTCAAACATTTGATATTGGTATATAGTTGGAACCATAGTTGTCAAATCGTGAATCGAAATGGCCTTATACTGAATTGCGAATCGAATTGTGATTTATAAAGATTTTGGTCACTTTTTCCAAATTAGTTAGAAAATATATCTACATACTAAAATGATAAATATATAAATATAAAATATTTAGACTTCAATTAATAAAAATGTTATTTTGAATGATGATCACATTGTTTAATAGGTAAGAAGTTAACACAGGTTTTCATGTAAGATTTATGTTATTTTCTTTTTTAGATATTGCTTATTATTATTAACCATTTTTAATAAAGAAAGTAAACAAAACAAATTCTCAATTTCTAAGTAAAAATAACTTAACACCGATATTGATATTTCATAAGCATGCATACATTTATGAGTAACAATGACCTAATAATAAGAAAGAATTAATTAGAATCTTTTATTTTAAAAGGTATATATGCTTAATGTTCAAAATAGTGATTTTTTTTTTTTTTTTTAAAGATGGGATTTGGTCCATAAATCTAATTTTAAATTTTCTTTGTTCAAAAATTCACACTAGAAAATATTGTCTAGTGTTATTAAAGGCGCACCTAGGCATGCGCCTAGGCCCAAGTCCCATGTCCCATCTGGGCCCAAGGTTTACGCCTTGCAGTGTTCCAGGCAAGGTTCTGAAAAGCGGTTGCGGTCGCCGTAACGGTAGCGGTGACGCGGTTGCGATTGTGGGGTGTAAAGGCCGTAGTGTAACGGTTGCGGTAATCGGAACCGTGAATTTTTTTATTTTTCGCACAATTTGAAAAAAACTTACCGATACGCATATTTTTTTTCCATGATCATATTTATTGGTTTAAAAATAAATATTGATCAATTTTTGTAAATTTTTAAGTATGATCCAATATATTTCATATTTTTAAATCACTATAAACTGAGTTTTTTACATTTTATTTTAATAATTAATAACTTTATATTTTACAAAAAATCAATCACTAACTATTATATATAAGATAAATAATGACAAAAGTAAGAGAATAAATAAGAGCCTAAATATATATATATATATATATATACATATTTTAACCAAGCCAAATAGATAATGACTAATTATTATTATTATTTTCAAACAATATATAGATAGACACACACAAACAAAATGGTTTAGTGATAGCAGTTGAATAGAATAGCATAGGTCTTATAGTTTCAACAAATCAATAATATGTTCTTCATCTTCCCTCTTCTCTCTCTCTCTATCTATCTCTTGCTTCTCTATTTTCTCTCTTTATCTTCCCTCTTCTCTCTATCCCTCTTCCCTCATTTTCAGTTTTTTTTTGTATGTTTTTTCGAAAGAAACAATTTGAAACCGTTGCGTAACGGTGCGTAACAGGCCATTACGGCTGTTACGGCACCGTTACGACCGCTACGGCAGCCGCTACGGCCGACACACCTGTGAATCTCAATCACACTGCAAAAGCAGCCGTAACGGGTGGCGGTAACCGCCAAAACCGTTACGTAACGGTGTTACGTAACGGTTGCGGCTGCTTTTTAAAACCTTGGTTCCAGGCCAAGCGACTTCGATAAGTCACGCCTAAGGCGTGCAACTGGGCCAAGGGCAAAAAAGCCCAAGGCCTGCGCCTTGAGGACTTTTTTTAAATTTTTTATTGTTGCTTTGGTTAGTTTGTTTAAAATCTGACCATTGACCACTGATTTAACATGGTGCAACTATAAAAGATCTCTGTTCTTAAATACACATGACAATACATTGGGTATTCAACCACAAATCAACGATAGAAAAAAAATTAATCCTAATTCCTAATATCCAAAGAACACTTTGTTGTTGCTTGCTTTCGTTATCCAATCTAGCAGCTCCAAAAATTCTTCTTTACGTTGCTATCTTCTTATTATTATTCTTCTTTTCTTACATTTCTTTCTCATTCATTTCACTTCTCTTCTCTTCTTCTCTACATTGTTGTCTTCTCCACTTCTCTTCTCTATGTTTCTTCTTCTTAAATTATTTTCTTATATTAAATTACATAATTTTTTACATACAAGGTGCGCCTCACTTCGGTAAAGCCTGCGCATCACCTTGCGCCTAGTCCCCAAGTTACCTTGGCGCCTCGGTGCAACTATCGCATTTAATAACACTGATTTTGTCCATAAAGATAAACTCTTGCAAAAGACCAAACTAGCCATGTATATATATATATATATATATATTGTTTCTAAACCAAACCTTAACCAACTCTCTCTCTCTGTCTCACTCACTCACTGCCTCATCTCTATTTTCTCTACCAAACCAAACCCTAGCCGCCGTCAGCTCATTTCCCTGCAAGCATTGAAGTTGTTGGTCTTCTTGTGGGTAGCCTTTGTGGTGGCACCACGGAGGAGGGAGCCGAAGCTGCCCTTACCACTACGGAGGTAGAGGCGTATGAGGAGGTGGAGAACTGGACGACTCTAACGATCCTCCACCATTGACCCTGATGACTCCGACATCTCTTGATCCACCAAGTCCTCTCCGATTTGATCCAACCCTTAGCCGCCAAGTGTTTCACAGTCGAAGAAACCCTAGCCAATCTGACACCACCGTATCGCCGGCTAATCTCTCGTCACTTTTTAAAATTGAAAACAAAATGTCCTCCAAAATCAATAAAAGGACTTCTCACCAAATTTTTTCGCAAATGGTAGACTTCTCACCAACAAAACCAACAAAAATATTTCTTGTACCTAATGCCTTATACCCTCTTTAATTTAGACTTTTCACCAATTTTCTCAAGGAAAAAAAAAAAAACCCCTTATAGAACCATTAGGTTTAACTCCTTGGCTCACTCATGTAATATTGAAGTCCAAACATCTTAACTTTAAACATATTTAGAAGATTCATTATAATTTTTTTTAAAGAAAAAAAATAGGTATAAAAACATTGGGTCTGATTGAATCTGAATCTAAAACTGATTGGATCTTATTGAAACCTCAGTGATCTCCAAAATAATAACAAATCATATATATTGGTTATTTTCATACTAAACACTATTAGAAGTTGTATTATGTCATTTTAACTAAAAAAATTGAGGGGGAAAAAAAATCAAAATATGCCTAACATGATAGTTTTAAGAATTACATGAATCGTAAAAAGTAAATTGAATCGTGAATCGATTGTGAATCATGTGATTCATTAGAGATGCACTTCTAAAATAGTTTCACTTATAGATTCGTATCGATTTTGCAAAAATTGCGAATCGAATCACAAATCGTTAGATTCTGATAATAAAAGTTAGAACGATGATGGCATGTATGTGTTCTTAAGAAT